AAGCATTTACTGTGATGAAATACATTTTGGGCAAAAATTTTGCAGATTATGTTGCATGGAAACCGTTGTCATGGCAACCGCCATGAAAAACTATTTACTGTGATTGTGATTGAAATGAGTGAAAATATGCATGTTAACATTGCGATTGCAATTTTCGTTGCCATGGCAACCGTCGCCAACAACTTGTAAGTAAAAAAATTTGCGGATTGCGTTGCATGGTAACCGTTGTCATAGAAACCGTTGCCATGGTAACCGTTGCCATGAAAAATCATTTACTGTGATTGAGATTGAAATGAGTGAAAATGTGCATGTTAACATTGCGATTTGCGATTGCGATTTTCGTTGCCATGGCAACCGTCGCCAACATAAAACAACGTAAGTAAAAAAATTTTGCGGACTACGTTGCGTGGTAACCGTTGTCATGGTAACCGTTGCCATGAAAAGCATTTACTGTGATGAAATACATTTTGGGCAAAAAATTTTGCAGATTATGTTGCATGGTAACCGTTGTCATGGCAACCGCCATGAAAAACTATTTACTGTGATTGAGATTGAAATGAGTGAAAATGTGCATGTTAACATTGCGATTGCAATTTTCGTTGCCATGGCAACCGTCGCCAACAATTCCGTAAGTGAAAAAATGTTGCGGATTACGTTGCATGGTAACCGTTGTCATGGAAACCGTTGCCATGAAAAACCATTTACTGTGATTTACTGTGATGAAAAACATTTTGGGCAAAAAATTTTTGAAAAAAATTTTTGGAAAAAAGTTGCCTTTGCTTTTTTGGAAAAAAATTTTTTAGAAAAAAAGTCGGAGTAAATATTTTGGAAAAAAAATTGTGAAAACCATCTTTGGTTTTTCCCCCCCACAATAGCCGCAGACAACGGGCGAGGACATAGGCACCATACCATTATCTTCCGATACCCGCGATCCAGAAAAGTCAAGATAAGACGACCGAATCAAGGTTCTGCTCCGGCGCACCTCGAGGCATGCTGCGAACGAGAGGCCTGACAGAAATGATTGATTCTCACTTGACACTCAACTCACTTAATACCTGAGCTGTGCAACTCGAGTGCAATGAAACGGCTTTTGGGTCGATGTTTCGTAGTCGAGCCCGCAGTATTTCGAAGCGTGCGCCATATAGCCATTTGGCGCCATCTCGATACGTCTAATACCACAAGTTATACAACTGTTGCACTGTAACTTGCACGTGCAGCAGAGATGCCAGTGGACGAGATTGTTAAATCGCTTCGAATGCGGAGGAAGTCGTCCTCATGTTGGGTGTCTCGAGTTCGAATCCACAAGCGATTTTATTTATTTTTATTTTTTCAATCAATTTCATATGGATAGTTTTATTTATTTTATTTTAGACATCATATCTGTTGCATAAACTTTCAGGAATCAGGTGCAAGCAGATCAAACAAGTGAATATTATTTACTTTGATTACATTTAATAACTTGTACAACAATATGGACTACATTTTATAAGTGGTAAAAGAATTAACTTAAAATACAATTAATTGATTAATTTTTATACATTTTATAAACATTTTTGGGAAAAAAATTTTGGGGAAAATAAATTGTGAAAGAAATTTTTGAGGAAAAAAAATCTGGAAAGAACCATGAACTAGCCTTTGATTTTTCAGGAAAAAAAATTTGGCAAAAAAATTTTTTGGGTAAAAACCATGGACTATATTTTATATAAGGACTATACAATCCTTGATTTCTTGGGAAAAAAAATTGGGTAAAAAATTTTTGGAAAAAAATTTCGGGGAAATAATTTGTGGTTAAAATTTTTGGGAAAAAATCCATGGACTATATCTTTCATTTTTTGAAATTATAAAACAAGTATCACCTCAATCCAAGTGATCCATCCCTTCAGAAGTGGTTAGGATAATGGCAAATTCGCAAACATCACCTGCACTGAAGTTGTAAGTAGTCTGAAGTTCATGCCTGAAAGAATTTGTTTTTCTTTTAAATTTTTGTGAATATTGCATTTTTTAAAAAATTTACGCATATAAATAGTTTTGGATCCTTTCCAAAATTTTGAAAAAATATTTTCAAAAATTAAAAAATTTTGGAATCTTTAGAAAAATTTTGAAAAAACGCACGTGTTAAAAATATTGAGAAAGAACTGGTAAAATTACATGGACAAACATTTGATGAAAAAAACTTTTTGGAAAAAAATTTAGAGAAAAAAAATATTTGAAAAAAATTTGGGAACAAAATTTTCTTTCACATTTTTTTCCAAAAGATGGATCAAAATTATTGCACTAAATAGGAAACTGGGTTGTATTCACATACCCAAAGAACCCATTAATTTATTGCATTTATTTTCCTTACTACTTACCCTCTTTCTCATACCTCTGTTGTTTCTCATGTAGCAAATCATATCAGGTCGACCCTTATTTTAGGGTTTTAGTTCAACCCTCTCTACCATTTCTCTCTGTCTCTCTCTCTTTCCCCGCTCTGGCAATCTGACATCGGGCAGCGCGATGTCCATTTTCAATTAAAAATATAGATCAAAAATATTTTTTCCAATTGAAAATAAGCCCATCTCGGACACTGCGTTGGAGTTTAACTCAGCTCACTGACCTGCCCTAGGGCAGCACTACGCATTATATATATATATATATATATATATATATATATTTCGATATAATATATATTTCGATAATATTTGAAAAAATACGTGTATAGTCACTTTTTCTAAATAATTTGCTAAAAACGAAACAAGTGTACATACACATAAATATATACACTATACACTTAAATTTTTTTCAAACTATTATCGACAAAAAAAGTGGAATATATACAGTCAACCCTCGGCTTACGCGGCACTCTGAGTACGCGGTTCCCATACTACGCGAAGCTAAAAATCCGACATCCCTCCGACTACACGGACTTCCTATTACACGGTTTTTATTCAACAGTCTATAAGTTCCTTGCGCAACCTATATAGGAACTTGATATCAAAAGAATATTAATGTAAGTTTTGTTATCGACTTTTATCTTTTAGACATGCCTGATTGTATAATAGCTGCCTAAGAACACGTCTGACCTGACTACTGCGTCGCGCCAATTTTTGAATGGTTGTCTATGTCATACTGTCATTTCGTCCGTATTACTCCTACTAGTCATTTCGTCCGTATTACCCTAAAGTTGTCATTTGGTCTCCATACAGCACGATAAAATGGTGCGATTTGTACCAACTCTGAGTCTCTCATAGCATGGTTCTCATCTGCACTATGTAAGGTTCCAAAGAACGCATTACGAATTACATAGCCTGATTGTATGTTAAATACAAGTTTTTTATAGCACGGTCCCCATACTGCACAGTATGTCCGTACACACTTGGTCTTTTTATTAAAACTCTTGTTTTTTTAGTGTTGATAATTATAATTTTGCAAATAAGTGATAACTCTGATATTCAAGTACATTTTTAAAATATTTTTAATTGATTTTATTTAAATCAATAACATTTAGAACATATAGATAAAATAAATGAAGATGATCTATAATTTCATATAACGAACTAATAAAATAGTTTGATCATTGTTTGAACAGAGATATTCAAAATTTTGAATAATGCAGATTGTGTGCTATAATAAGAAATATAATAACATTTTCAAATTTAAATTATTTTCGCATGTCCTCCTGCAGAAGTATTTTTAATTGGCAGCTACTAACAATAAGAAAATCAACAAAAACACAGTATAACTACTAAAATAATGAAATTGATTTAATTATATATCATTACAATAAAATGAATTAAACAATTTTAGAAAAAGTAATTTATATTTTTAAATCTACGATCATAATAATTTGGAAGGGAGTTTTTTTTTTTCAATAAAAAATTATAGATAGAAAATATAGTATTTGGATTACTTTCATGACATCAGCTTAAATTTACTAAACATTTGTAGATCCTCCTCCTACCTTTTATTAGATATACAAAAAGCTAGTATTTGCTTAAATTATTGGTGTTTTATAATTGTTGAAGATATTTAGGTCTACTAACAACTTGTTAACTAATATAAAATATTCATTTCAAATAGTGATGCAAGCTCAATTCCCACTTTTATTTTCAACCACTAGGAATTACTTTTTGCATGAACAACACATTTGCTTATTTCTAAAATATTTGAACTGCATTTTATTGTAAAATGTATGAGTGGACTCAATTAAACTGTTTGATTAACTTTTCAGTTTGTTGGTTTTTATGCAACATCAATATAATTATGATAAAGCACACTAGTATGGAAAAACTGATGTTTCATGGCCATTCAAATGTTTTTATAAAACTATAATTGCATATGTACCAAATATTAGCATTCTACATACTCAACATTAAGAGTTGAAATGAATATAAAAATCATTTTAATAAGTTAGAAAATACATCTAAATTATTCACAATTATATCTGGTTTGAATAATTTTAGTCTTGAAAGTTTTAAATGGTCAGATTGACAATATTTAGTTCATATGCATATGATGTTCTAAACTCGAAATTATATAAATATGGGTATAAATTTACATCTCTCATTATGTAGAGCCGCATTCCAAGCTCACGAATGACCACTTTGGCAAATATGCATGGCTAATTACAATTATCATAATGCTTCTACCATCTAAATACTAAATAAATAATTGCAAAACCTTCGCAAATAAAATTTATACAACAAACTCATTAAATATATTTCTATTTTAATAATTACCACTACATCACTGCACAATAATATTGTAAAGCTTTTTTGTAAATAAATACATTAAAAAATTTGTCTCTTATAAATAATACAAATCTAGTAATAAATTAAGAGATTTTTTCATTTCAAATAGTTATCAAATTCATTTAGAGATTGTTCTAATTATTTACATTTTTGTGAATCATTCATAGAATGTCTGTGATATGCTCCGCTTCAACAAGCAAACTGTGTTGAGCACCATTGGTATATTAAATGTAAATACTTTGTTACATATCTCAATACATAGTTCTATAATTAAAATTATATATGCTACACTTAATACAACTATATACAATCTAAAATTGACTCCATTTGTGCTTGTCCAACAGCAAATTCATATTTTTTCTATATTCATATAAATGTGCATCTGTTTTTTTTTAAATTTTTCTAACATATCACAATATAGTTAGACCTATCAACAATCGTTGACTTCAAACAAACACTTCAATGGAAGCAACAGTTTTGCACCCATCAAGATTTTTTTATATCTAATAACTTGCATGTCTTTTCTTTGGGCAATAAATTATTTATAGATACAGTGCTCGATTCTGAATTATTTAACCCTGGATTTACAGCTACTGAAGATCTGAAACTCAAAACTTTGAATATAGATATATGTCTATGTCTGTATGTTTTTATATATGTAAGTAATTCTAAGATTGCTTTAATGTTAATAGAAGATATATTTATGGTAAAATAGTAATGCAAATATAAGAGGAGATATTTGAATATGATTATATAATATAAATATTATTATTGAACTCTGCATAACCATATTAAACTAATATATCCAAAATTTGCAATATATCTAACTCATAGTTAATTTAATGTAAAATGCTTTGTATTTTTCAAAATATTTGTGAAATATTTTATACTCTGACTTTTAATAATTATAGAATAAATCAATATGTTCACTAAATGTATATATTAAGCATACTAATCAGTCTTGAATAAAAATAATAAGTTAAAAATATTTTATATAAAATTCGTAGTATAAATTGTATGTTAGAAAGGACAGTCATAATTGCTTAACAAAGATTACCTGTTGTGTCGCATATGACTTCGTACTAAGTCACTGTTTACGAGGGCGGCAAGTAAGCTAAGTTCTCCTGCCATAACGGTGGCGCAAATGATGCGCGCCAGAGATTTAGCATTTTCGGCAGGCTGCGCAGGATGAGCACCCTTTACACCCAGCATTTCTAAACAAGCACCTTGTCCAGGTAGAACGGTACCGCCGCCTAGCAGATTGGTAAAATAAATGGATCAACAATCATTCAAGAATTTTAATTAAATGCAATACTGTCTATATCTACTATTGTTCGTGAAAAAACTCTTTAGACAAGTAATTTCATTGATAAATATAATTTGTAATTTGTAGACTCACCTATTGTTCCTACTTCTAAAGATGGCATTGTGCAGGTCATGTATAGATCTTCATTATTATCGCCACATACTTCCATTCCCGTTGAACAATTGCTACTGGTAACATTTTGTGCTGGGTCTTGACCAGTTGCTATAAAAATAGCTGTCACCATATTTGCGGCGTGTGCGTTATTACCACCTATACTGCCAGCCAAAGAGGTGCCAACCATATTTTTCAATTTGTTACATCTTACTAACGTAGCAGCATTTGTTCTAAAAACGGAACTCAACACTGTACCCGGTATGACTGCATCACACACTACGCGTTTACCGCGTCCTTTAATCCAGTTTATTGCTGCAGGCTTCTTATCAGAACAATTACCACTCAAACTAACAATTTCCATATCAGGAAAAACTTTCTGCACGTGCCTCAATGCCATTTCAGCACCTTTAGAGACCATGTTCATGCCCATAGCATCTCCAGTGGTGGCGCGAAATCGTACATATAATTGAGGACCATCCATACCAACATATTTCTTGTAATCGTGCAAATCTTGATGTAGAATCAAAACTTGCTTTAACCGCTTCAAAGTTTGCGCGTCTCTCTAGCCAATTTTTGGCGCAATCGGCACGTCGCACGGTCGGAAAGCGAATACAGGGTGCGCGGGTCATACCTACGTCTTCCACGACGCTGTTTACACCGCGGGCCAACAGAGCTTTACATCCACGGTTGGTACTTGCCACCAACGCGCCTTCGGTAGTTGCCATTGGTACGTAATATTTGCGTCCATCTAAGAGCAGGGGTCCAGCAAATCCTACTGGCACTTGAACGTAACCGAGAACATTTTCACAACAAGCGTTCATTACGCGAGAATAATCATAATCTAGGTATGGAAGATCGCGTAGTGCAGTGTCGGAGAATAATCCTTCGGAAGTAAGAATACGGCGACGTAATTTGACACCACGTTCATCGTCGCCGACTGCTGCTTCTATGCGGTATAAAGGTATGTGACGAGCACGTACAAGCAATGCGACTTCGGCGTCAGTCAAAGCAGCAGCACCACGTTCGGAACGATAAATTTCAAGGCAAACATCGAGTGACCGTGGCTCCGGTTCTACCTCAACTTCATTTGACTGACTTTCTTCAATCATAGTTACTGTTTGTGTTGCCTTGTCTTCCGTTGCTTCATCTCCTATGCCAAAAATGGGACGTTCGCGTTCACGATCTCTCATAGTAGTAGCGTTGTTGCTGTTATCTGTGTTTTCGCTTTCAGACATACGCAATTGACCCGCTAACTGCTGCTGGTTATCTTCGAAAAATATGAATTTGACGGCAAGTGCAGCTAATAGTATCAATATAACAATTTGCTCTGCACCAACTGCCATCCAACGCATCAAGTGTCCAGGCAACGATGTTTCTTCAGTGCGATTCTGGGTCATAGTGCGATGTTGCTCAGATCCTACTAGCGGAGCGGCCGGACCATCGTGATCGCCGCCGTCTTGCAAACTCCAACGACTAATAACGAATGAACAAAGGTAAGTTTATCTATTCTAGTTTCATTTAAAACATTTACTTAACATACAATGAATAGCGCATCCCCGATCCCCTCTTACATTAAGGTCGAGTCAGTGTCAAGTTTGACGCTTGAAATATCTTGCAAGCCATTGTGATGAAAAATAGAACAAATAAAGACGTACATGGTACTTCCTGAAATAACTGATCTAACTCGATAACGCTAATAATGACAAAGTGAGAGTCATTACACATGAAGTGACAAGTTATAAATAAATTGGAATTACAAAAGTCATAGAGCATATAAGCTTTTGTATTAAACAAACATATTTATAGAGCATCAACTTCAAAAATTCGTTTTAGAATTAATTGAACATTACTGAATAAATGAAATTTAAATTGAAATAAACAAAAATGTATTCATATCTACCTATGGGCATGAACTATCATGAGGCCGACAGACATTATTACTTTTACTCGTTGAACAACTGGATTTGGTTTCTGGTCCTCTTCGTGTAATGCTTTGGCCAATAGTGCTTCCCCACGTCCCAAATTACTACCCTCTCCGGTTCGAGATAACTGCAAGAAAATTTAAAGTAAAAAATGACAAAAATAGTGGGAAAACAATTTTTTAGATATATTTAGAAAGTAATGAGAACTAATATTTCAAACTAACATAAAAATGTCACAAATCAATTTATAAAGTATGTTCATAGGACGCTTTTTGCTATTAAATATCAATTAGCAATGACCATGGCCTTTTGCGGGATACAATAGTAATGATTTGACGCGTAATGTTTTAAATGGAACATTTTTTGTCTGATTAGATAGCAACATAAATATTTTAATAATAATTTTTATTGATACTAGAAACGTGCATATTAACAGTTATTAGGCCCTGTGTAAGATTGACTCAATATATAAATTATTTATAGAAGTTTGTGAACCACAAACCACTCTAAAGAATATATTTTAAACCACGTTTATTATTTAAAATAATAAACTCACCTCCAGTATTAGGGACAAGCAGGCTGGATAAAATGTCATAAAAACTACGTAATTTACAAGAACTGAAAGACAAGCAAAACAGCAAAGAACTTCCAGCCTGGGCACTCCAGACAGCGTTCCAACTCCAATGACTAGAGCTTCGACTAGGGTATCCAGTGTTATCGTTGGACCAAGAAGTGACATTCCACGAGCTATGTTCTGCGTCACCTCTGCCTGAGAAGAGGCGCTGAGGGCCAGTTGAGCCAACAACGCGGCCTTCGACAAGTCAATCAGAAGGAGGAAGAAAAATAGCGCATCCCTGAAATTTATAAAATTATTATTTATTCATAGTACATACGCATATTTAGCTTCCACATCCAAATAAAATCAAAGTCTCCAAGCGTAACGATTTTTTCGCTTTTTCACTGATTAACTTTAGTTTGAACTCCCAGGAAAGGAAGGCAATTCAATGTAGTAACACACAATACATATACATATATAAAAAGGTTCAAATATTGTTAATAAATACTGGAATTTCAAAGTAATATTACTAATAATGATATGATTTATTATTACATATTTACAAAAAATCAGCTATAGTTTCTTCGCAAATTCAATTTTCATTGTAAACATGAAGTGTTACTTTAATAATTATAAATAGCGGTAATAAGCCTCCTCACAGTGCTACAATATGTAAAATTACAGATCTACTGCAAATTAAATGTTCACATTCATGTTTTGTATTACACTGTAAATATGTCAAGAGCGAAAATATAACTCATGTGGATTCGAAAAGTGTTTATATTGTGGAACAAAAATATAGCGAAATGTTCTATTTCTAACATGCGAATTCTTGAAAGACTTATAGAATTTTCCTCGACTTGGAAGTATGCCGTTTTGTGTTAAAATTGGGTTTTTGTTCATTGCGTATTGTTGACTTTGCTAGTTTATGAAACCATGCATTGTGCACGTGCCGAACTTAAAATAAACGCCCATCACATGTTAAACGCAAATAAATTAAGTATATTGTATTTATAAATAATATGAAACGTAAAAATTATTCTAAACTAATTAAATGCTCACGACAAGATTTATAGACATAAGTTAATACATTAAAAGATTTTTATTCACTAATTCTATTTATCTTCATACTTGTGAGTTCAAAAGACGCGTCTAACTTTTCCATCTAAAAAAATCTATGTACATATTTAAAAAATTAAAAAATAAAATATTAAATTTAGTAAAAGTAAAAAATAAAAGCGATTTTTGGTAAAAATTATTGAATCAATAGAAAAAGTATTAAACTATATTAAAAACAACTTTAATTTGAAAAATAAAATATTAAATTTAGTAAAAGTAAAAAATAAAAGCGATTTTTGGTAAAAATTATTGAATCAATAGAAAAAGTATTAAACTATATTAAAAACAACTTTAATTTGAAAAATAAAATTTGGAAAACTCACTTCAGGTCACTGATATCACTGCGCAAGAAGTTGATGACGCTCGAGCTGAAGACAAAACTGGAAAACACTGTGAACAGACCGGCGATGGCTGAAAAAAAATTAAATATTTAAAAAATTGTTTAAAATTTTATTTACCTACAGACCATTAATTCAATGTTACATGTAAAAAATAGTTCCTCAAATATTTTAGAAGGTTAAAATGTTTCAAATCCAGCGTTTAATCCGATCGGCAGATTAAAGATTTGGTGGCTAAGTCGTCATGTAGAAGTATTATTTGTTATTAACAGGATGATTTTTCTTATTCGGCATTTATACAATAACACACACATAGTTAAAGAAAACTGAAAATATGTTTAAGATCTAAAATAAGTTTTATCGAACATTTCGGCAAATGTTTGTTTCCATCATTAATAAATTCGTCTAAAACAATTCAATAATTTGAAGCATTCTACAATGTATGTAATAAAAATTAAATTAATTACTTGTATTTGTATATAAAATATGGTCATGCATGTTTATAAATTTGGAAATTGTAGATGTTTTTTTTTAATATTCATTTGGTATAATCACACACTTTGATAAAAATATAATAAGCACCTAATTAATAAATAAATAATAAATCTAATAAATATAACTAATAATATTACTTCCAGCCAATAATTTTTATATCCATTCAAGTGACCTAGATGAGAAAAAATCAATTAGCTTGAGGCGTCATAAATTCAGTTGATACTTACGTTTGATCTTTTTTATTGTCAATCAAAACTTTATTAAAGTTTTATAATACAAAATTGTTGAGGTTTATAAAAAACAAAAAATTAAAAATAAGTCTGATTATGTTGAAAAAAAATGATAATCATGACATGGTTGATGGTTGGTATAGATAATTTACACATTCAATGAGGTTTAAGCAATATCAATACAAGCTACTAAAAATATCAATAAATTATATCTTATTTTGTAATGCTTTACAATTAATTGAGAAGTGATCTTGATATATTGCAATTTAATCGAATAGTGCTATCTGATTTTCTAATTAAAATGCTATCTGTCAACTACTTAATAATAATTTCCTTAATTATATTTCTTTTCTAATTTTTATATTTCACATGATGTTCATCATGATATTATCAATTTTTTGTCTTGTTAATTCAGTAACTAACAATATGTAAACCGCGGTGTATAATAATTTATCCAGATTCGATACCCGACTCGGACAGCTTCATGTAAACATTGCTCTTGCCCGGCATTGCTACATTAATTAAAGAAATCATCGATATTATAGAAATTGTGATATAAATTTGCCACATAGAGATAGGAGATAGGATCGCGTTTAAAGATGATTTTCTAACGGCTTTAATAAAAGTACGAATCAAAGTTATTTAATAAAAGTAATCAAAGAAACTATGCAGTACAGTTCTTTGCAAAAATTCGGAAAATTGTTATATATTATAATAAAATAGTAAAATTAATATAATGCATGTCTATAATACTTAATATAATTGGAAATCTAAGATAGACGAACCAATTAAAAAAAATAACGAAATGATTGCAAATAAATTGTACAAGTTACCTAGATTAGCGTATGAATGGAAAATTTAAATTAACATGTTATCTTATAATTCAATGGTAACATCGAGAAGAAAAAACAACTAGGTTAAGTGGCATCTTGCCTTAAAGTAAGTTCCATAAACTTCCCGATATTTGAAATTGATCAAGTTGATCAGTATTGAAAGCTTTTAATTTTTTAGTATTATGATGACATTTATTTAAGTTGCTTACTAAGAATTGCCTTGACCTACTTTTACCATTATAATAATTTATATAATAAATTAATTGAAGATTAATTTCCAGTTGAAATTTTGCATAAACTTGAATTTGTTCATTATGATTTTCTGAAAAAAAATGGGGATGTTAAAAATTAAAATGTTTATTAAGAAACGGGATAGTTGATTATCACATGAGCTAATTATATCATTAGTATATTTTAATAAATTACTTTTAAGTGGTTGGAATTGGTACATTGGAAAAAACGTCGACAAACGGCAAGAAATCATTACATTAGTTTGTAGAACAGATATTTAACTTCATGTGAGGTAAGTTATAGTAATCGCAAAAAAGTCGAAAATGAAATTTTTTATATATCTTTACGTTCCAAAAAATCAATTTTTTAGAAAAAAAAGCATATTTGAAAATTTTAATTTTCGGTATGGAAAGTTCCATCAATTTGCCTTAAGGCACGATGCCTTATTGCCATCCCTACAATGCCGTTTTTACGTAATCTAGTAACACGCTGAACGTCGAGTTCGAGCAAGCCATCGGTTCTTCGGCTTCTGCAGGCTCCCTGAAAGTGCCGTATAGAGTCGACATGTGATTAATTGTCTTCTTCTGTCTATTTCGACCGCGCTAGGACACTAACCTCGTGCCCATCACGAAATCGTTCACTCCGAAGGCAATGCAATATCGATAGAGATATTAAATGAACTTCAATCAGTACTTAGACGTGCAAAATGAAAAGTCTCAATGACCTGGTGTATATTTAGTTTTTAGGAAACTTTACAGAAGTTAAATTCATCACCATTTAAAATATATCAATAATTATACAAAAAATAAACCACGAGCAAAAAATTCAGAACATTCTACCATCAATCCCAACTGATACATTTAGCGGCATTCGGACACGTGGGATTTGTTAAAAAACGCAAAATTAAAATTTTTATGCATAAATCCAGTTCTAAATAATTACTTCAAGATTTGAATCTTCAATTTAAATCCAGCTTTTTATCAATATTTATGAAGTGGCAAATTCCAGACTAGCGGTATAAAGTATCTGTACTTTTATCATAATAGTTAAAAGAACATTAGCTTTATTTTTAATTTCACTACTACTACTAATAACAGATGTTGTTTTTTTCTTCTTTTAATCAGTTGCAATCTAAATAGCCAAAGTCAATCAAAGATTTATATGCGTAGTCGTCAATACACAAAATTGTGCCACTTCTTCATGACGAGTATATTCGTATTTAACTTGCAAAATGCATTAGAATTGTATGGTTTATAAGAGTTTATGGTTATACTAGCTGTAAGTGGAATTCTGTCTTAAGGCAATTAAGGCATCGTGCCTTAAGGCAAATTGCTGGAACTCCCCGTACCGCAATTTAAAATTCGAGTAATTAAAAATAATCAATAAAAGTTGATCAATGATTTGAAACTTTTAATAGAATTTCGAACCATATTAAATCATCTTAAATCATTCTATCTTAAATCAGTTATTTTAAAATATTTTGGAAATTCTGAACTTTTTTTCAAAGCAATCGTACTGCTTTAACTGCATAAAGACGAAATATCGAAGCGCGTAAGCGCCGCGTCGCCGTCTAACGCGTAAACATTGGTACGGAACCCATAGGAATGTAAACAAAATTTATACTTATTGTTACAATCTCTTTAAAATATCTAATTATTTAATGTGCATATGCCTAATGTTTATTTTTGACCGCGAAATGGCTCATTTTTTAACTTTTTCCTCCATATCTGCGAAGTCGTTGCACCTGCCTTTTCAAAAATTTGAATAGTTCTTCACTTAGTTGATACAAATAAAATGTGTTAGAATTATTCAAATCGGACGATCCGTTCTCTTAAAAACTGAGTTACCGTTTTTGGCACTATGATCATTAATGCACTAAATCATTATGATTTTAAATCAATCAATAAAACCGATTCCAACTTGGTTCTATAGAATTATACAGACAGAAAAATAAACTCCAACAACGGATTTTTTAAAAACTTAGTAACCCCCGCTTAAGCCTGCATGCCCATCCCACGATATAGTAACTCGACAAAATAAACAAATCGGTTTCGCTTAGTTTATTTCAAGTTTGTCAGAATGACTTCCTTAATAATAGCCATAGTGGTTCAATTAATCAAATCCGACTTATTTAATTATTTTTAATCGACGTTCTCTGCAACCATAACATACGTACGTGAATAACCAGTTTACCCAGCAGGATACAGACAGAAAACTAGCTATTGCCAACAATTCGTCTATAGTTTGATATCATTTCCATTAATATATCAATTTATAAGACAGATGCATAAGTACACAATTATAATACCACTATTTATTTTAAAAATAATACGGCATAACTGAAACAAGACAAACCTAAATTAAGAAATAGAATAATACTATTTAATTTTATTTATAAGCGATTGTGATTCAATCTGAAAAAGGACTATGTCCACCAATCGATAAATAAATAACGCATCATAATTATAGTAATTTACTACAGGTGTCAGTTTTTTACTATATTTTTCATAAAAGCATAACCCCATTATGTTGGGAACAACCGCTTTCATCATATATTAACGTTTCGTTATTACGCAAATAATGAATTGAAATGCAATTGCAAAAAAATTCTGAAAACTCTTATAAAATCGTAATATGATATCAAGGACTAATATCTATTTAAAGTAATACTAATTTAACTTACAATACAAATAAGTAATTAATGCTTAAGCAATTGAAACTACAACGAAATCCCGAAGGTCAGCACCATTTGGAAAGTATCAAAATAAATAAACAAATATTAGCACAACGTATGTAATCAGAAATTTAAATTTTGCACATACGCACGATGATAAAACCCAAAGTAACTGCGTTAATTAATAACTATGATATTGAATCATAGACTGCATTATAAATCTCAAAAATAGACTTGGACTTTGAAAAATTAAATTATCTTCGAAGAAAACAAAGAAAAATCCAAGCAATTTTTTTTAGTGAAGGTCACATATTTAGCAAAATCCGGCATTTTAATGAGTTTAATTTTTTGAATAAAGAATACAGGTAATGACCTAAAATTAAGATTTTTGATGGCCGTCATGAATGCTACGAATTTTACTATAAAGATTAGTAATAGATTAGGTAAGACTATTTCACACAAAGGCGTAAAAACAACACAATGATTAATCACAAGCAAATACCATTACACAGATAATTGGTGCAATTTTTATTATACTATTTTAAAGCAAAAAACTCAAAGTAACTCTAAACCTAATCAAAATGAACGGCGACTTTTGAAAAACCATAAG